GTCTTTTTTTGTGTGGTCACTTTACATGTATTTCTGACAGTTGTACTCAATTTTTAGTTGTAATAGCTTGCACTTGCTCATTTGGATTTATCATCGTATTGCCTACCAATGTCCCTTGTGGGCGTTCTTCAAGTTATTATGCTATTTGTCCAATTTTTGTCTCCAGGATTTTGATAGATGCCTGCTGATTCCGTAGGTTTGGGTCAATTTTCTGGAACACTTCGCCTGTCTTTTGCACATATTGATTGAACATATCTCCCAAACTTGATATTTTCTCTTGCTGGTATTATTTGAACCACTCCATTGCTGATTATCTGACCATCTGAAGTTCGGGTATTGTCTCCAACCTGATTATATATTTGTTGTTATGGGTTGAAATTATGGGAATCATTTTGAATGAAACATACTTGTCCTTTAGGAAAACCCATAGACAAGCAATTTTCTGTGGGATGATTGGCTCCACAATTTTCACATACTGGATTGATTGTCACTGCAATTGCTCGTTGTGTTTGTGCTTTAACCAATAACTCTACCGTTTTATCAAAGATGCTATCTATACATTTGTAGCTGTTGTGATGTCTAATTTATAAACTTCAGCCGCTTTATGTAGTGTCACTCTTTCTGATGAAAACATGGAATGTGTTGTGGAAACTAACTCAAACAAATCCACGCATTGTTGTGTTGATTTTCCTATGATCGATCCACCGGCAAAGGAATCCGCCTAAGATTTTTGCAGTGGTGAAAGTCTGGTGTAGAAGCATTGCACTTGATTACCTGTGATGATCTCATGATTTGGACACTTTCTCATTAACTACTTGAATCTATTCCATGCCTCATGATAGCTTTCCCCATCTTTTTGCCAGTCTAATTGTTGCTAATTTTGCCAGTGGAAAAAAGTTGTTGCAGAATTTTCTCTTCAGTTCCTCCCATGTAGTAATGCTTCCATTAGATTCAACATCTAACCATTCCAATGCAATATCTCGCAATGTATAGGGAAATAACCCCAGGTTGATAGCGTCTTCATTAATGAAGCATGAAAATTCTAGCAATTTCTGAAAAATCTGGATATATGTGTGTTCAGATTTTCATGAGTTAAGCTATAAAATTGGAGAGTGTTGCTGGTCAAGTTGATCCAATCTGCCTTTACCTCAAAGTAGTTCACCCCAAAATCTTGATATACTATACTGGAGTCTGCGGATGCTGCTGTGGGCGTAAAAATCATTGAAACTGACAAGCCCCCTTCATTTATTTCCACTTGGTCATATTGTTGATCCAGTGGTGCCGCTACTCTCTCGATAACTTGTCTAATTGGTTGTATAGGAATACAAATGTATATTTTGATCGTTAGCCATTTGATATTGTTGTTATTGTTTGTGTTCTTTGCGGCGTTATCTAAAAGTACGTTCTACCTCCGAGTCAAATGGTTCAAGATCGTTACCTTAGGTACGGAGCATACAATGAACACCTTTTATCTGTAATAAAAAATCAAATAATAGTTAAACATAAAATAAATTAAGAC